GCGTCTGTGAAGAGAGATTTTACAAATAGGCCTAATATACATGACAGAGACAGACACTGGACCAAGAAAAATTAAAACAAACGTTATCTCAGTGCTCCTTATGTGAATAATAATACAAATTTTAATGGAATTATTATGCATTAGTCATTTATTTTTTACTAAGTACTACATATTTGTAATGCAAACTCAACTAGAAATGACCATAGATGATGACACCGTTTTGCTGTAAGAGCTACACAACTACTTCTGACCCAAGTAGTAAATATCTCTATATATCTTTGGCTGAGAACCAAACCTGGGAGCATTTAGGTATAACATGATCATTCATGACTGTGCTTAAAAATCAATATCATTGAGTAGGCATTATATATGTGGTTATTGAGATCTAACAATTTATCGAAGACGTCAGTGATCTGACTCACATTAAAACGCTGTTTAAAATTAGAGACTCCTTGGTATCTCAGATGGTAAATTATGTACAATAATTTACATAAGATTATTTTTTATATAATCTCACTTCAGAATATCCCATAATCATAGTAGCAATATCAATCATGGAAAAACATCTTGTCTCGGGAGATGAGGACAAATGAAATAAAACATTATGTTATGTACTTTATAAACAATTTACCTATATTACTAAAATAAATTAAGCTATACAATTATTTACAAATACTTCTATGCATCAGTAAGCACAAAAAGGTGAATTTGGATTCTCTATATAAGCTCAGCGCAGCAAAAAATTATAAATATATATTGAAATGCCAATCATTGGCAGTCGGAGGTACATATGTAAGCAATATTTTTAAAATATTAACTGTTCAAAAATAGTAACAATAATATTTTGGAAGGTTTTCATCAAATATATCTATAAATTAATGGTATTTATTAGGGACCTCTGGCCGCCGTAACATTTATGGCCTTTGAAATGAGACAGGAGATCGATCGAAAGAAACAAGAATAGCTATTCAGCATCCAATTCTCTAACCAAATTATACCAATTTAGTTGTGTATAAGCTGTAGTCAACTGCGATGGTTGTATTTCGTTGTAGGAAATATATACAAAATTCATTCGGAACACGCCATAAAGCAACTAAATGACACTTTATTGAAAATCCAAATTTCTTTTTGCATCCACCATACTTTCGTCATATAATTCGGCAGTTTAATACATAAGATTCCATTATCGTTTTGAGCGTTCATATCGGCAACTTTAGTCCCATACTCTATTAATGATTCTCGAATGTTTTCAAACGAATTTCAATATTGAACTGCTTAAATATATATAACTTTTTAGTTGCCAAATGGTAATTAATAATTGAAATTACAAACAAATGACAAATTATTTTTCTGATTTATTAAACGATTTCAAAAACCTTGCTGCTTCTTAAAAAATACATCGGACGGATTGTAACATAATTTTATTTTTATTACTGTTTTATGTAATAAAGTTCATTATATATATATAGGTGTTACCTACTCACTACTAGCTATGCCACATTGTTGGGTTGACTGGTAGAGATCTCTCTTAGAGATAAGTCCACCTTGTATATCTTTAAGTTTAGAACTGTATTTAAAAGTGCAATAAAGAATATATAATAATAAATATTATAGACTACCTCTATAATATTTTATATATTTTAATTTCGTTCAAGTCCTTTTAACGTTGCTGCTATAAATAAATAAATAGATGTACTTGTCTTTAAAATACATCGAATATGGTTCATTTATTGTTTCTAGAACGGTTTTTAAACTTGGAATACGTTGCTAAGATATTTGCTTTGGATAGACATGTTCAACAATTTAATTATCCCCTCAGAAAATTCTTCAGGCAAATTTATAAAAAGGATGTTGTGGACGACGCATCTCTTTATATATTATTTATATATTTTGTCTAATATTTGATGTATAAAAATGTTATATTGTCATTATATACTTTACATACTTTTGTTACTTACAATTATATTTTTATCCTTCTTAGAAACCATATCTTCACAATTATATTAACCAGCCTAATAATATATATAGTCCTTCGCTCACAGATGTAATTGTTCAGCTATAAATTTGTGTTATAAACTAGTCAAGAATGAATAAGGTGCATACACGTGGACGGTAAGTTAAAAACGTAATAAAGAACGTACTTATGTGGTTTTAGCTAAATATTTGTTTTCGTATATTCTTTCATAATTCACCATAATTATCTATTATTCTTTCGTATAATGGATAATTATGGTATCAAATAATGATACAAAAGTTGCCGGTCGGAACACGAATATTACATTACTAATTTGGCTAAAAAATTGTCAATTATTACAAATAATTAAAAATAACTCGCCATTCAGTTTAGAAGTTTCTACCTGATGACACAGCTATAGAAAAAAAACATATTTAAATTCATTTTTCGTTTATTTGCCATATAGCAGAAATAAGATAACGTAAATAAAGTCGTTTAAAAATGTTCGATCCTTCTCTTTTCAAATTAATATTCTTCCTATTTTAAATGGTACAATATACAGCGTATTTTAAAAATACTCTATATAAAATTAATATATCTACATTAAAGAAATCTGATTAAAAATGTAAAAGGCTATTTATTACAGATATAATTAATAAACACTTACAAAATTCACATCACCAAAAGTTACACATTAATTACAGAATTAATAAAACATGTAATAATAGTGTATAATAAATAAGAAAGCCTTATATTATTTAGCGCAGGCATATCGTGGCTTCAAAATTTAATTTGTTATTAACTCACGCCTCTCATATTTGCTACAGCTATACTCGCAAAACATACATAGTCGTTATACGTGTATTGATACGTAGTTGTAATTAATTAATAAATTAAAATGATATACTTTATCTGAACTTTGCAAATGTTAAAATATTCATTACGTATTTACATAGTTTGCTTTAAAATGTAAAATCTGACGTTTTCTTCAATTTTCAACAAAGATCACGTGGCGTGCTCTAACGCCTCATGTTAGAGTTTATATATAAAATGGACAATTAATGTATAATTAACAATTCATAGCATCAGGTCTTAAGCCTACTTCAGGACAAAAAAATAATATAACTTTTTTAAAGTAAAATTCTCCTCAGTCAATCAATTTTGTCTTCAATAACTTGTACCATTTTGTATAATAAATCCTACAAATCGATTACGCCATGTATAACTACAGACTCGATAATATTATTCGAAACAATTATATATATGAATAACAGATTATTAAAAATATGTATATCTACTATATAATTACACAAGTTACTTTTAATGAAACCCTAATCTTTTCACATCACTACTTCCGATTTATAATTTAGACTATAAGACATCCAAACATGGTGTTCTAGGTTTATAATTTATTTGTCATTTGCCTAAATTATATAATTTGTATATTATATTGCTTTTACATATACCTAATATTATATATTTATTATAATTTTTGAGATCGAAATTACTTTAGGAAAATTGAGAGATTAGATATAACGGTACCAATCGTCCTCCTAAAATACTATAATCATAATATATTTGTCACAATTTAATATATCGTAATTCAACATTGTCAAAACTGGCGGTATTTAGTCCTACTGTAGAATACTTATTGTCCTTTCTGTAATTATTTATTGCTTGTTAGTTCAGTAATAGTCTTACTAATTGTCAATTATTAACTATAATACAAATATTTCAATTAATTAAACGGAGGTAGTGCGTAGAGAGATAAATTGTATAACAAAATAGAACAATGAGTAAAACATACTGATTTATGAAATTGTGACAAACAATCTTACAATAGCAAACCGTAACATTATTACATAAAATTATTGGAAATGATTAGAGATGTGAAGCATCTCTTCCATAATCTTATTAATAACGTATTTCATAAAGTAACAAATATAATTTTTCATCACAAAATATACACAAATTTTATTAGTGGTACAACATCATAACAATTATAAATCAAATGTTCTATTTCATTTATAATTGTACCTCTATCTACCGCGTATCTACAACTAAAACATGGGAGACAATCACTCGTAGAATGAAAATCTGCTTAGTTGTATGTGCCGGACTTAGAACAGCCGCATTTTAGAAGACAGAACAGACAATTACAAACTGCGTTAATTTTCAGTGGGCGTTAATATTTTCTAACAGAAAATTTCTAAGTATATATATGCAATTACAATTAATAATAATAATATCCCAAGAGAATTGACACAGCGTCATCTAGTCGCAATAAGCAGAGAATGTGTTATGGACAACTGATATAAATAATTTTAAATTCATATCAATAATCAGTGAAAATCGTGAATATTTATTAAAATTAGTTTCGGCACGTTTTGTTCAACGATCATTCTAATACAATTCAACAGCATACGAGTAGTCCACGAAAATTGAAGATATAGAAAAATATACACCAAATCAATTAAAGGAGGAACTGTGAACAGATTTTCTTCCAACAACATTTTCCGATATCTTACATGTATATCTTCTACCTTCCATGTATAAGTACATTATTTTCATTCTACAAGTGACTAAGTATACAAAGTAATGTACAAAAACTGAAGTAACAGATATTTCTCCACGTATGACAATATTAAGTAAACAATTGCTTATTAACTTTACATCCTTAAATTTTAAACTAGCTTCTTCAATATATGTATATATATATCTATATAAATAATTACATAGATCATGTTTTTCTTTTATTGACGTGTTTGTTAATAGTCGATATTTGGCACATATATCGACTATTTATAGTTGTCCTTATCGACATTGCTGCTCAGTCACGCACGTTATATCTCTTTCTAATGTTTTACTTGTTTTTATAAAACTAGTCTTATTTCCAATTGTTTAAAGTTTCGCTTTATCATTATTAGTTTTAATTGACAAAACCAAAATTCAGTTTTGTGTTTTGATTAAAGTTATGAATTAATTTGAAGCTAATAATTCGATTTGGCAACATAAGTTAACCAAACTATATATTTAATATTCCTATAAATTTCAACTGATTACTCATTTACTAATTTATTTTTTAAGGCAACATCTGTAATATATATAATAAAATATAAAAGTAGCTTACATGTATATATCCACAAATAAATCAATGTGGTAAGACACAAAGGTTACTTATATAAAATACTCTACTATCAAATGGATCATCAACACAGCACAAACTTAATCAAAACTAATAAATAAACTACTATTCATTAATTAACCAACCTTGATTGACAAACTATTATATATTGGATTTCAATATATATTATATTTATATTTGGACAAACCCACAGGCATTTTTATGCTTAAAAGAAGGCTTACCACAACTGTACTGAACTAAACAACTGTATAAAATTTAGTAAAAATTGTGTTATCTTAATAAAGATTTTTTAATATTGATGACTGACTGTGATCAGTGATTGAAATATGAATAACAAATAATATTTTTAAAAATAACAACATATATTACTGTTATCTCTTTTGATTCAAATATATCCAACAAAATTTGGGTAAATCAACTGTTGTGTTCAGCACTCACGACTTTGTTTGACAATGCTTCCGACTCTCATCCAGTAAAGCAGTTATAAATAATTATATTTATTTGAATTAAAGTATATAATAATATGTGGACTGGTCATTGAATATATAATGATAATGTAATTGTAAACTATTCGCAATTTACAGTATCTAACAGTATGTCTATAGTATCTCTTTGGTAGAGATTTTCTATAAACGAGCAATAAGACGCATATATTAGAATATATGTATGTAGCTACATGCTCAATAGGACAATTTACAGGATATTTGTTAACAATATTCTAATTCTTATAAAGACATCTTTATATAAATAACTAGACTCATTCATTACTAAACTTTCAGGAATGCTTCAAGAAATAAGATTACTTGAGGCAATTAGATTCATAACCATAATACAAAATTATTTTGAAAATCAACTGTCATGCTTATTATAAAAGCGCAAGTCCTAATATTGATATAAATCATCAGTCTACTCAAACATCCGTCTAGTATGAAAACAAATTCCAATGAATTAACATTGGATTGTACGGTACTTTTCTATACTCTTGACTATAATAATTCCAAATTTTTTTACTAGCAATATAATAATTCTATACTAACATTATAGATTTATTCAGTTAGTTTAGTAGATTAAGTTTAAAAAAACACATTAAAATAAATTTATTTGAAATCAATATTGAGATTAGACTCTAGAGTATATATCTGCTGGTAAATATTTATCACTATAGGCGCTTGTTTAAACACCGTAACAATGACGCCATCTATTATAAATTCTCCAAAATGACTACGCGTCTTTGGCAGGATTTTAGAATTGGAAGAATTTAGAAGTACAATACAAATGTTAGATGAATAGACTACAAATACTCGGTGGGAAGCTGTAGCTAGAAACTTTGTTTACTCCATTGGCTCATATTCCATGTCACCACAGTACTCCGCTAAGAAGTCAAGGAATAAATTGAATTTACCCGTGGACGATCGGGACCATTGCGACGATACTGACTTCATGCAGGTAGACAGACTCTCCAAGACGTTCTGCGGAGAGAAATTAATAAATTCAAAAACAACAGTAAAAAAAAATAACAATTCACATAAATTATGCAGTTATGCAAATAATTTAAATTGCATAATAATAATAATAATATCTAAAAACAAAATCTTTCTATAATTAAAATATAGTTTTTTTAAAATCAAGTTCCACGAGATTCCATGAGAGTTCAAACACTAACTTTTAGGGTGACAGATGGCAAGGCTTCTGTGTACAACTGTACACAAAGAAGCCTTGCGTTCTATAATAAATAAAATAAGAATGTAACTGTCTTTATATAGTTAAGTATAATAGTTTTAAAATATAAATGTATTGGAAATTAGTTACAAGTTTATGTTGTATTAATGAAATAAATAAATAAGTACCTGTGGCCAATCTTGCCTGTATACCGCCAGGCACTGTTCTGTGAGGGAGTCCTCGCTTAGGTAATGATGATGCAGCAGAAATACAAGAAATGTTGCCATCGCGCTCCATGCTGGTCCTGGAGACTTCGAATGACTCAACATTACTATATTACGTGGACAGAGCACTCGCTCGAAAAACTCTAAAAATTCTTCTTTATTGTCCTCTACACAATTCACTTCTTCTTTCTGACTGTTTGCTAGCTCTATCACACCGGGACTGATTATGATGGGAGTTGTAACTTTAACATCATCATCTGAAACCGGCGTTGGTGCGCGGTCATCTTCAAAGTTGCGGAAGTCCGGAGAAAGGTCTGGTCTTCGATCAGGTAAAGAAGTCTCTTCCGATTGATTCTTCTTTCTATCGGGACAACATGTGTTCCAGATGGCATTGACTTTAAGTAGGAATGCCTCCGTTACTTTATCCGGCCTTTTGGTCACTGAAAAATATATAAACAAATTAATCATGTTATGGTGGATCTAGACTAAAATGATAAAGGAAAACTTGAAATATATATATTTATTGTTCCCGCGCTTGTTTGCGCTTATATTTATTGTTGCTGATGGCAGATAATAAATATCAACATTTCTGACTCGGCCATTTTCATAAGTGATTTGTTGCTCTGTACAATATTCTAAAAATAAATATTGAAATATGTAAAATATCGAGTTTGAATCATGAAATTCCAATCTTGTGTTAACACATTTAGTTTAAAAAGACGAAGAAAGAACAATATTACAACAAATAATGAAAATTAATGACTTTTGGACATTAACTTTTTTGAGGACTAATTTGTTATATTTGAATAGATACAACAGGAACAACATATGATCATAGAGTCATATATTTTATGAACGTCAAACAAGGCTCACCGAGCACGATACATAGATCAACGCTGAGCTGCAAAATGGCGCGCTGCGTGTGCAATCGGCCGAACAAATTGCTGGGCGAACAGCTCGTCGCGCAGTTCGCTAGAAGTGGCGTTAACTCTTCATCGCTGGGCTCCTCGTCCTCTAGTAGAAGACAGATTTGTTCCTATTTGAATAATAACAGTATTAAGTATAGGTGTCAGCCATAGTAGGTACAATAAAATCGCAAGTATTTAAAAGTGCAACAAAACAAATGAAATTCAATATATTTTTTAATTATATTTGTCCATTAGCTATTAGTCATAATGAAAAATATAGTAAATATTAGTAGTTAGTATTTTATAGATTTTACAGTTTTATCATGGACAACCCTTATCACGAAGGGGTGTGGCCTACTTATACACATATTAATACACAATAATATAGTATTAAACATACATACATATATATATTACACTACATAACTACATACATAAAATACTTATAATAGCAATGATATATTTTATAGCATAGCTCTCTAGCGCATTGCATTGCGCTGGAGTCCCGCCGGCCGAGTCAAATTAATGAAAACCAATCAAATTTCAAATATAAACAATACGACCGCAGCGACAAGCAAGTTAGTCGGTTACAAAGGTTACGCGAAGCTCACGTCTCTCGATAATAAGCTCCTTGTTCTCTATATCTGCTCACGCGCCCGTGTTTAAACCATATCATTCTGGACTTTTTATTTTTCCATATTGTTGACCTCCTTCTGTTAATTATTAAATAAGTGTATTGTGCCTAAACACTAGGCCTATATATATGAACCTATGTTATGAAAGGCCTATACTATGAATATATAGTCGATATAGAATACGTAGCCGATTCTTAGACCAACACCGGTCACGCCGTTTCGAAGGAGTACAGTAACTAACATTGTGAGAATGCCGTTTCAAAGGAAAGTAATTAACATTTTGTGATATGAGAATTTTATATATAAGATTAATGTGATTTTTGTAGGTATTTCTATACAATAATATTTGAGTCGAGTAATACAGGTAGGGGTACCTTGAGGTGTATGATGAGGGGGGCGGGGCTGACGTTGGCGGCGTGGAACACGGGCGCGGGCGCGGTGAGGGCCCGCAGGTCGGTGGTGGGCGGGCTGGCCGGGGTCGCCGGGCTGGCCGGGGTCGCCGGGGTCGCCGGGGTCACGGGGGGCGCACCCGCCCAGCTCGCACACTCGCCCAACGACACCAGAGCCTTCATCTCCGCCTCGATATCCTTGCACAGGATCGCTGTAACATTTGACGCATGTAGTGCCTAAAGACACCGAGAGCAGAGACGAGCAATCCGCGCGATAAAAGTAACATTAGGTTTAAGAAATTGTATACACTATGGATAATTATTTGATTAAATATTATAGTATTATTATATGTTTGTTACCAAATCATCATTACATAGTATACAACAAAATCGCTGTCGCTGTCTGTCCCTATGTTTGCTTAAATCTTTAAAACTACGCAACGGATTTAGATGCGGTTTTAATAGATAGAGTTATTCTAGAGGAAGGTTTAAATACATGTAGCCGGGGCGAGTAGCTAGTATTATAATTATATATAGTATGCGGCGACGGATATTGAACGTCACAAGGCTCACTCAATATACACTGACGAGCTACTCCATAGATACTCTATGCAAATATTTCCACTATTTCTTGTATTATGTATTTATTTATTCAGTACTTTTTATCAATTCTTCCCAAATTGAAAATACCGTATATTTAGATGTATCTATATCAGAAACAATATTTATCTATCAGCCTGTGTTACAAAACATAAAAATAACCTTTTTCCCGTTCAACGGCGTTTAAATGGGACAGGGAATCGATGGGATCGGACTTACCCGTAGTGGTCCAGTTGTCATCAATCCATTTGCGTAGCCTTCCTAGGCAGCCTTTGACGGCGAGCGCGTGCAGAGCAGGTGGGGCAGCGGGCAATAGAGCGGCTAATGCGTGTGCGCTCCGAGTTCGAATCCATGTAGCTGCCGTCTCTAGCGCGGAAGTACGCACTTGTTGTAGTTGCTCCAAGTATAATCCTTGCAGGGACTCCAGGAGAGCAGTCTGGTGATGTTAATTTAATTACAAGTAATTAACTACATTTTCCATCATTGCTATTACATTATGTGGTCAGATACAAGCGCCATTTAATCTACATTCCCAACAACCGTCAAGTGGGAGCTAGCAGCTAGCGTTTATATTTCCTATTCCCACATACAAAAAAACTACTCCGTAAATGTTGTGATCGGACATATTTACAAACCATTGGTAGTAGATACATTTTAATTTGAAGATGTTTCACACAAACAAAGTGCGTTGCCGGCCTTTTAAGGTCGTAATAAAAATTATTATGTTCAAATGTTTGGTGCTTATCCCTTTTTTAATGAATAAAGCTGTTATAGTATAAGCTGTTTTATTAAAGGTTTCAATATCGTATCGGTTCAGAAATATCATTGTTGCCGACCGCCACTCATCCAGATGATCAGGATGGTATATAGTTTCTGGCGATGTGATCGCGATGGTGCAATTAATCTCAACAATTTATCAAAACACTCTCCGTGATATATGAGACGTATTTATTGAGAAGTGTTTGTGACTGGCCGTACACGAGCGCGCGTGCGGCGACGTGACCGCTGAACATATTTGATGTTTTTTATAGGTGTTGAGAGTGACCTGTGTCAGACTGACCGTGTCTGCGCGCGCGTGTGCGGCGACGTGCGCGCGCGCGCGGGCCCGGGCCCGGGCGCGGGCGGCGGCCAGCGGACGCGCGGCCAGCTCGCGCACGCAGCCCGCCGTCACGCGCTCCACCACCAGCTCCAGCACGCGCCGCCACGACGACGGCTGACTCCTCAGGAACTCCTCCTCCAGGCGACTCTGAAACGTACACGTACACTTGTTGTACTCACTTTCATTCATCCATTCAAAATTATCTTGAAACGAGATGTCTTTACGCCGTATCTCATTGTTATTCGTGACTTGAGCTTAGCTAGATCTTAATGAAATATAACAAGAATATGAATTGTATCGCATATTTTATCTAAAACACAAGCAGAGGAATTTTTAGTAACAGCTAATTTACCATATTCATCAATTTATGTTAAGTCTATATATACTTATTATTTCACTTGATTAATTTCAAAATGAAGATTCATTTCATAAAACCAGAACTGATACAATTTACTAATATGTATTACCTGTAATTCCTTTTCTTTGTTCCTGATTCTATCTTCTGTATTGAAACTGAGACTGACTGGCGTTATATGGCGGAAACTGCCCACTTCTTTCTGATCGTGAGACACCCTACACGTCGACAGTAATACATTAACATCCTTCAAGAACGGACACAACTCGAAGAGCATAGACTCATCGATTACATCATAACAGTCAATGTTTACTTCGCACATAACGGTAATTTGTATTGTCTTCTCGTAAAACAGTTCCATTGGGAAGTGTGGTAAATCGAACAGCCAGCCAAGTATCGATTTTAAATATATAATCGTATTTTTCTTCATACCATTGTCTGTGGACAGTTTCAGTTTGTCGGTGTATATGTTGAATATAATTTTTAATAGTTCTTGGTAATATTTTAATCGTAGCGTCGTGTAATCCAGTTGCGATAGATAGTGTACCAACCAAGGAATAGTTATGGAGATCCGGGAGTTTTTGTAGGAATTGATTAACAGACCTTTGAGGTCTAAACTAGGTTGGCTCTGAAATGACATTAAAAAAATCTGGTTAAAACTTTATTATTGTCTTTAATTACAATTTGTAATAGTACGTAATATTAAACACAGTACTATATTATAAAACGTACGTTTTTGTTAGTTTTTTTGTAGTATTACATTTAACTGAAATGATAGAATTTGGTAATAGTCAAGTTACTGTCTTCATGATTAGTGATTAAGTTACAACCAAGTTTAAGTTTAAGATTAAAGTCAAGTAATGTTAAAAGTCAGAGGTGAACATTAAGTAAAGGATGAAAGATAAAATATATGAATCTCTACAAAATTGGCTTCTGCCTTATACACAATCTCTACAATAAATTACAAAACAATAACAATGCACACTAATTGTAGCAATAATGAGACGGACGTAATTTTTTATAACAAAACGGTCAGTTGTGACGTCACAGCAATAAAGAACTATTAATAATAATGGACTGCTATTTTTTGTCACAATTAGTATCATCGAACAAGTGAAAATATTTATAACATCTGCTTGATATATAACAACTCACGTAATTCCTCAAAGCCAGGTTGTTTTCAAGTACTCTCTCCTTGGGCGGAGCGTGCGAGGGTTGTTGGGGAGGGCGAACTGCCCCTACCGACTTAGAGCTATCCAGAGGCACTTGCGTATACGGTAGCGCCAATACGAAGCCCAAGAACTTTGCCAGGAGATTTAGCTTCCTCGACACCTGCAGGTACTCGCGGGATATGTCTGAACCGCTCGCTACTAAATAAAATAAAGAATAGCTAACAAAATGTAAATGGTCATGGTCGTAAGATATCACTAAAAATACGCCACAACGTAAGAGCTTAAAATATATTAATAATATAAATAACATTGAAAAATGCAGCTCTTTAACTGAGACTGTATTATTATTCGTCTATTTTTATAATTATGTATGGATAACGTTTTGTTTCTTTTCTTTTTAACTATTCAAAACGTCACCTATATTTATCTTAATTCTTACTAATATTATAAAAGCGGAAGTTTATGTGTGGGGGACAATGGATGTACGTTACTCTATCACGCAAAAACTACTGAATGAATTTTAATGAAATTTTACAATAAAATAGCTTCTAAATCAGAATAACAGATAGGCTATAAATTTCACGCAAGTGAAACCGTGGACACAGCTAGTATTACATTATATATATTTACACGATAATTAAAATAATAATAGTACTAACCGTTAGTCCTGTCGTCTATTGCAATGGGAGTTGAATCCAGTATTATAATCTCCGAGGCAAATGCATCCCGAAGGTGCACACGGAATGATTCATTCTCGGTGTACATTATAAACTCCCTATGAACAATAATAGAACATTTTTAATGGATATTTATTGCAGGAATTCCAAACTGGTCAAAAATGAGTAAGTAATGTATGGGAATGAAAAAAATAACTGGCTTTATATAAATCACAGGATAAAAATGTCACATACAAGTAACATACATACAGTTGAATTATTTCATATAAACAATTGAATAACTTTTAATTTTCAACTATTCTAACCGTGTATCAGTAATATCTAACGGTCCAATGATCGACTATTCGACCCTAGTTCACACTATAACAAGTATATATACAGTGGTACTTAGACAAAGTTAAAAAAATATAGTAAATTGACTTACTGAAAATTATAACCTTTCTCGAAATTGCTCATATATTATGCAATACGTGAAGGATACTTACTTATAAAATAGTTCCTTAACTGAGAAGTACGGCAACCGGTGGGACTCAGGTGCAGTGGGACAAGTAAGGCGACGTTGCAACTTGCTCATCTTCGATTCCTGGCAAAAAAACACAAATATTTTAAGGTATTTTATATAAAGTGCAGTTATACGTCGCTTTGATAAAAAAAAAAACTGAGTAGTGTCAGCTGTTTCCGACTGTAGAATTTAAATTTTACAATCGCGGTCTATTTTTAGACTTTTATACAAGAAATAAACGGGCCCTGTAAAAAAAATATTAAATATAGAACCAACATAATCAGGAAATGTATTATGACTTAAACAAATCCAAATTAATTTAATTCTTCATTTTTAATTAATATTAAATTATTCACAGAACTGTCTGAAAATAATAAATATCAGTACCTATAGGACCAACCCGATAGTAAAGCCTTTCCATTAAGAAGAGTTGTCAAATCTGGTCCAAAATTAATGAATATACCTTGTGATACACAAACTATACACTAAAATAAAAAACGTTGAAAGAAATTTCTTAAAAATATTCGCATATAATAATAAATACCTGAGTATTTTGCGGCAGACACTCAGATAACATATGAGCTGTGAACAACGTGGCGAGATGTGCATAGTTTGCTGGAGACTGCCCACAAGTCAGTAAGGTTTTGATCCTCGCTCGGAAAGTAGTCCTGGAGCCGCCTGACGTCTGGGTTTCTTGATACCATCTGTATAAGTAGAGGTTTAGAACTCAAGCTTTTACGACGATGAAACCGTGAAATTTGATAGATTTTGTTCATACATAGATTTTGATATGGAAATTTCAGGCTTCATTGCCATCATTTATAACATTTTTTTTATATAATTGGAAAGGCCCATTTTAAAGACGGCAAAAGTATCATTACATTATAATGTTACATCCAAGATACCATTTATGCGTTGCCATTCCAGAGGCCTAAGATGTCAGGACACCTGGCCTGTAATTTCACTGCCTACTGCCTAAACTGACCGTGCAACATATAATTGCTGTACATGAAAGATATGAACCACTATTATGGGGGGACTTTATCGACGTAATGACGTAACGGTACCCAAAACAATTATTGTTACAATTTTTGTTTGTTTATCTGTGCACGCTAGTCTCTGAAATAACTTCACCGATTAGGGTGCGGTATTCATTGTAATGTATTGTGGTAAGTTTTACTTAAAAGTTTGTTTGATTTATTCCAATTGGTTTAGTCCGATACCAACCGACAAATAACTTATACGGGTAAGAAGTCGCAAGGACAGCTAATTACGAAATATATACTTTCTGGTATGGTAGAGTAGGTAGGGTATTTATTGGAATCATTCCAATTTTCATGTGATATCACATGGTATGAAAAATTCTCGTTTCAATTACGAATCATGTGTGAATTCATTAATTAATCACTGACTTACCGAAAAAATCCATACATTCAAATAGAAATAGAAATTGTAGCTATATGCGGCCAAATCCGCGGGAAACTGTGAACAATTACGTTAAAACGTTATCCTCTTAACGTTTTAACATAATTGTTGAGTGCTTAGATAATTGAATTAGGAAGATTGCTTTAGCCGAGACTTAGACGTAATCCATTAGTGGCAAATAGATTAAATTTAAAATCTATTATACAGCGGTAAGACTGACAGGTAATCACAACTACACAACTAAATAGTAATTGGTTTACAAAGTAACCCATTACAAAATTAATATTTCTTTGCGACTAAGATTGGAAAAAAAGTTGGTTGCCTTACTTATGGATACCACCGCCTATATACAAAATAAATTTCACTCAGTAACAAGACCATCATCAGACACAAATAGTGAGCCCTCAACTTAAAGACCCTAAGGGGTATTGAAAGCAACCACATGGCATGTAGAGCCTGTAGTTAGAATGCAAATGGGTCACAATAGTGCGGTTCTGTCCTGAACACTGCTTTCCCGAGTAGAAACAAACCCCAATATAGAAATACAAATAAATAACTAATGTTGTACTATGCCATCCATCAACGTAACACATGGGGCATTCTATTATCAATATTCCCTTTTTATTATGAGTAATGGCATTCACTATTTTATACTTTCCATCTAATCATAACGGCAAAGCGTTTTTTCAGCAGAAATTGGCATATTTCTGACGTTAAAATCTATTCAGTTAAGCTGAAACTCACTTAGCAATGCTAATACCTACACAAGAAGTAGTCATTCAGTCATCATCTAAATTAATTATACTGTAATTTTTATTTAGATTTGAATCAAATTAAGAACATTAATATAGGTCTATTACAAAAGTTTGTTCCCTAAATTGACTCACCTAAGAATCAAACTAAGGAAAATTTGTAGTACAGTACTATACAAGTTCAAAGTTTATAGAGGAAAAGTAAGTAACAACTTACCCAAGAATTTGGTAAAACATATCCCTTTGTTTTTTAAAATTTTGGAAGCTTGCGACTGTTGGAAAATTGTCAATGTTGTCAGTTTCAAGGTTAAAACAAATGACTCCATTGGAAGATCTACTTTCAGTCGGGTTTTTCCTCTCTTGATTATTCTCTGCTTCACACTTCAGACCATATGAATTCAATAGAAATTTTGCTAAGTCGGGGTAAAAGGAGCGTACCTTTTTATTTTCACCTAGTATTTTCAATGAATTCTTATCTAAAATAACTTCCAATACAACTCTCTGGGCCCATAGCGACTTCACAGCAAAATAAGTGCAATTGTGTATAGATTTCAAAATGAAATCTAAATTGTTGTTGCTCAAATTGGTTTCAGCAGTGACATAGTCATCTTCAATTTGTTTAGAAAGCAGAATGGATATTAAAAAATATATTTCAGTTATAACACTTAGTATCAAATTATTTTTCAACAATGCATTGTATATTTCTATCAGTATGTCGATTTTGTCTTTAAATACAATCTTGGTGCAGTCTGACTTAATATAATTTATGTTTTTCTCAAAAGAATCCTTGTGGGAGACCTTGATTTGTGGAGTAACAATAGCTGTACAGGACGTAGAAGTATTTAGGATATTAAATTTCTCCATAAGCTTGTGTCTCTCCTGTTTTAACATGTTACGTTCCACTTCAAAAGTATTTGCAGATTCTTTTGGTTGCAAACTCTGTTGTTTAAATGCCACATTGTCTTCTAATGCCAATGGAGAAGGCTGTTGGAAACACTCTGATGTAAAACTGTTTAGTGAATAGCTTTTCTGTGCAACAGGCTTGTCTATATTAGTGGGTTTGATTCTTCTTCTTTCTGATCGTAATGAACTAGATTTCCTAACACCTATTTCAGGGAACATCTCTGAGTTACTCAAATCTAATACAATACTGCTGTCTGTTGTATCATCATTGGATATGTTTTTGACAACTTTCTTTTTCTTTGTACTCTTTTGTGCTGTAACCAAGTAGTCACCAAGACAATTTTTCTCATGAGATCTTGAATGTCGATGACTTAGTCTAGGTGTATCACATCGTTCATATTCTCTAAAACTTCGTGGAGTTACAGGACTTGCCAATGGAAGATTAGGATGATCTTTAACACCATTCTTCAGTGGGGTACTTGAGATGACTATTCTTTCAAGACCACAACTCAATCTGGATTCATCAGATGACACTGATTGATCTTTCTTGTCATCAGTAAATAATTTGGTCTTTACTTTCCTACCAGCACGTTTCCGGTCTTTACTTGGAGATGATTCGTGACTTCTCTGACGATCTGTTTTGACAGAAAGATTATCCATAGTTCTATCATCGCTAGTAGGGTCACTAATAGATCTGTGATGGTTGCGACGTGAATTGATTATTTTTTCTGGTGTATTTTGGTATTGCAACACTTGATGTGCATTTGTGTTAGTTTGTAGAATACTGAAAAAAATTACTAATGCATATAGAAGCCAAAGCAAAACTGTAATAAAAATAAACTGTCATTCTGTCTATACTTAAAAATAAGAACAAAAAGTGCAAGTTTGATTTACACAAAGGAAGTTCAAAAGAGCTAAAGTAAACAAATTTTTACTTTTCTATATTATAATTATTTATCAATATATGAGGGTAATTTATTTTTACTTATTTCCAATAGAACTCAATAGAGAAAATCAAAGCTCTTTGTTTATCTCTATTGAATTATATATATCAAAACAAAGACACATGTAATGTATGAAGTAACCTACTATTATATTCCTAATACTTTATTTGATTACAGGTCGTAACTTGACAATAAATTATAGTGTACTATTTTACTTTGATTTAGCAAATAGTGAATTTATAAAAAGAAGTATTAGCTTTTACAACTTCACACTTTTTTAGCTTATTGTATCATCTGAAAATTTGGCAGTTAAAACACTTAGGAACAGAACAAAACCCAAAGCAAGAATTAGACTTATACTCGACAAGCACTTTATTTAGGTCGCGCAAAGAAACCGCGAGTAAAAACTAGTTATTATTATCGGTAAAACTTTTGAATCATTGTTTACATTGAAACAAACTTACTTATCCGTTTGATTCCTCAAGTAAGACAAGAATTGGACAACAAACTCGCTTCTATTGCAACATAATAACACACAATCTTCATTACTATCCTGAAATATAGGAAATATAATTAATAGGAATATAAACAATGCAAATACTAAGTACTGAGATGAAAATTTCTAGGTTATTATTTACCTCAACTGGTTCATTTCCGAGCCATTTTATAAATAATGCTATATCAATTTTTCCGCTAAGGACACTTTCAATAATTGTTTCAGGCATTTTTTTAATAACTAAATAAATAATCGATTGTACTTAGAATGTGCGCATTCAAACGACTGCCAAAATGTCACTGGACAGCCATTTTTAGCACAGATCAAAATCAAAATGTATCTCATCACATATAGTCCTTGTCTATGTTTTGCATTAACGATGTTGCCAGATGCAATTTTTATTATATGCTATAATTTATAATAGTTGTTATTTCTATAACATTTACAAAATGGCTAAAAGCAACAACTCGCCGGAGGCATAAGCAAAAAATGTTTTATTTTCTGTCATAAAAATTAAACTTCTGGTGACATTGGAAGGGCGACTTTAATGTCAAAAGAGGTTGATAAGGGAGCGTCAGTAATAAGAAATACTAGTAAAAATCAGTAGAAATATAATTATTAATTATCATTAAATATTCTCATAAATTATTACTAATTACCTATACACAGTTAACGTATAGTTTATTATTAATTAATCACTGCAGTACAACTTGTACATTAATTTTATACACCCTTAATTCTTTCAAATACTTATAGACAGCTCTTTCCCCCATTATTCTCATGGAACAGAAGATGAACACACATAATAGATACACAGTCGTGTACCTATTATCTATAAATCAATGTAGTACTTATTTTCTCTACATGTGGTGTATGTACATTACAATTTTTATATGAGTTTATATACATGTTTGTACTTATTCGCCGATCGTATTAGATTGTAGATAAAACAATAAGCAAACTAAACATCGTTCTTTTCTGTATGTGTGCATCTGTGCCGTTTTAAACCACTACTCTGAGTAAATTGACTGTTGCAAACATCACATGCATACGGTTTTTCACCCGTATGAATACGCATATGCAACTTTAAATTACCGTTGACAGAAAAATGCTTATTACATATTTCACAATTATAATAAGGCCTCTCAGTGGAGTGTACCCGCATGTGCTTAGATAAATTACCAATTTGTTTGTTACATATTTTACATGTGTAAGGTTTTATGCCAGTGTGCACACGCATATGCCGTTTTAATTGTCCTGTCTCCCTAAAACACCGTTTACATACGTCACAACTGTACGGTTTCTCACCAGTGTGTACTCGCATATGTATTTTCAAATAACCATTGTCTGAGAATGGTTTTTTACAAACATTACACGAAAATGGTTTTTCACCAGTATGCGTTCGTTCGTGTAGCTTGAAACTGGCCATTTGCGCAAACTGTCGACTGCAAAAGCTACATGTGTAAGGTTTTAAGCCCGTATGAACTCTCATATGCACTTTTAATGTTGTGTATGCGGTGAAATTCTTTTTACACACTTCACATGAATATGGTTTTTCACCAGTATGCTGACGTTCATGTATCGCCAGATAGCTCTTGCTTGAGAAATGTTTGTTACAAACTTTACAAGAGTAAGGTTTGACTCCAGTGTGAATTATAAATATATGTCTTTTCAAATGTGTTCGTTGCGGAAACCGTCGACCACAAACATCGCAAACATAAGGTCTTTCACCGGTATGCGTCAACAAGTGCGATTTTAATGTCTGACTATGTACAAATGACTTATTACAAATATCACATACATATTTCTTTTCGCCCGTATGTGTTTTTATATGTTCTTTCAATCCTTTCTTCCACTGGAACTCTTTACTACAGTAATTACATTTGTATTTCTCCTCAAAATGTATTGATACATGTTTTTTAAAAGTTCTAGTTTTATCAAATATCTGAGTGCATAAAGTGCAAGGGTACCTATTACCAACGCTGTGGGTATCTTCTATATGTTTGGTCAATGTCTTGCTCTGTTTATATTTACTATTGCATAAATAACAGTTGTAAGTTTTCTCGCCCGTATGTATTTTTCTATGCACTTCTAGAGACCCCTGGTATGAGAATTTTTTCTCACATACATTGCATGAGAATTTCTTATCTGTTCTATGTGTTCTGCGATCTTGATCTGCAACAACATTTAATATTTATATTAAATCGATTTATCTACAATACTTACAGTCACAGATTATATTTTAGAAATAATTACTATTATGTTTCCATTGATAATCCATTTATTTTAACTTACTTAAGGTAAATTGCGGAGGAGCTACCCAATCGGCATCAGGGTCTAATTGTAAAGGTACCTCGAGCTTAGTTCGAAGCTTCGACAGGGGTTCGTCATCTCCATCGTCAGCTTCCATAAATGTATCTGTAGGTAATTAATACATGACAATATTAAGTGTAAATTCCATCACAACATTACTACAATTTACAAGTCCTACAGGTTTCTGTATTAAGTAAATGTAGCATTGGCAAAATAACATCCTGTATACACTTGAGTAAACATTTGTTTTTAATAATAATAACAGATAAGGACCTACAGACCATCATCAGATTTAACTCCTTCATCGTTAGATTGTAGAGTTTCTTCTTTCAAATCTGAAACCAAACAGTACAGTATAAATATCTTTAAAATGGGGTTTTGATATTTCTCAACATGTTCAGTCAGACTCATCCTTATATGTAATATCATTAAATATTACACACATGGATTAAGTATAAAGAAATTATGTATTATTACCATATTTTGAGTGGAGATCATCACTGTGGCCAGACTCATTCTTGACATCTGAAAATAAGAATAACAAATACCTATAAATAATTACTAATACTCAATATTACTGTGAATAATGATAATGTATTATATTTCAATACTACAAGTACTTAAATATAATACATATAATACATATGAAATAAGGCAATAGCTCATTTGTATTTAGGATCTGACATGTTATTAAAAATACAATTACACAGTAAAGTGACCCTATTACACATTTCAATCCAGTTTGCGTAAACAATATCAATGTATCAAGACAAACATTGCACTTTTACTCCAGAAATAAAAGAATAAAGAACCCCAGGAAATTAATACATTTTTATTTCCTATCCATAATATATGTTCATAATGTACCATCTACAACAAAATTATAACATGGATTAAATAAGTGAAAGGTACCCATAGATGTATAGATATTGTTTACTAAATTTATAGTAATCACCTAGAGGTTTATTGAACAGAAGTTTCTTTTGAATCTAATTCACATCACTATATGGTGTGACTGTAAAATAAATAGTTCACTACCATACTTATTATTATATCTAATTAAAAAAATGCTAAATAATTACCATTTACTTCCAATTTGACAGTTTTATTCCAAAACTCACCATCTAAAAACATATTAAACATTAGCTACATTCATGTGGATTATTATTCAGATTTCCAACCAATTAGTAAAGTTCTTTATTGTCTATACTAGATAATGTCTATACTAAAGAGTTCAAAATATATATTTATAATATATGTACATAGAGAACATTAATAAAATATAAATAAATATACTTATGAATTCTAAAAACAAATCTTTGCTTTGTATTGCATAGGGATCAAACCCATTACCATTAGAATGAGGTGCTAAAACTACTAGGCAACTGGGGTATTACCTATTATAAATTAGGTGCAACTTTAAATACCTTTAAAATCATGGTTGTTGTAATACTGGGTAAACTTCTGTTCACATGTAACCACCTGTTGTTTGAAGAGTGCAGCATCTCGCAGACGGGGTTCACATGCTCCACATATACTGTATGAGGATGCCCCCCTTTCACCAGGTATTGGAGCTATCTGTAAAGTATAATAGTTTACTAAAATCTAAAATCTAATCTATCTAAAAAGAATGTATCAAAAATACATATATGTTATACTGATAAGACTTTTTAAACCTACCAAAGTCCAGTTATTTTTTTTATTTATGTTTTAGGTATATTATTACCTATAGTATATTATATATAGTAGAGTTTATATAGAAAGTACACATCTGGTACCTTATCTAATATATTATTGGGACTTGTTAAATACATAATACTGGGTATCTAAGAGTTTTTGTTTAAATGTTCTAAGAGTTTTTTTTCCATTTAGTCAAATGGAAAAAAAACTATTAGAACATTTCCTTAGTCTTCAACTGATTACAATATCAACACAAAATCTTTGAATTTTTTTATACGATATATAGAAGAGAGTTATATATAAGCATTGCAATTTGTTTACTACTTGTTTACATGATCGGGAACGAGCTGGAGGTCCCTCGGTTAGGAAGTATTATGCTAATAAAGCAACTGCAAAAATCATTATGACTATATATTTCAGTATTTATTAATTGTTGAATACTAACAATTAAGTTGAAAGTATCACGAAGCATAACAGAGAATATTTCATTGCTGCCACTGCATGTATAAGATACAGCAAGACTCTTGAAATTGCCTTCTGCGTGGCAGCACCGACACAAGCCTACTATATTCCACTTATCTGACATAATTTTGTTCACATTCTAATTTATTTCCACAAAATACAAATAATAAAAATTTTAAAGAACACAACAATCAACAAATACTTTAAGACAAAGTAGTGTAATTTTTGACACATTTGATTATTCTTTTTTACTTGAATCTGCCAACGTCAGTGAGTTGCTATATGCATTTAGGAATCACAGAGTACATTTGTATATACCATAGAGTTCATATTAAATTGACAGTGACAAATAACATTTACCAGGTTGTCACAAACGGGTAAATAGATGCCTTTCCATTACGGATAAATAAAACAAAAAAAAAAAGGGTAAATAGAGGTAAAATGGTAAATAATGTAATAATTCAGTTTCATAGTTTTTATTACTTTATAACGTTAATCTTTAGAATTTAAAGTGCACTCATATATTTGTTTTTTATTTATTTGTTTGTTATATTTAAAATAACATTATTATTAGTTCAAGTACAAATTCTTATAAATAGTTTAACCAAACAATGAATGAAATATGGAATTTGAGTTCCATTTGCCGTTGTTGCCATTCGGATGGAATATTCAAAAATCTTGATACTCCTTATATAGTAGAAAACAATGTTGAAATTTACTCTCAAATGTTAGACGAAACTATAGGCCTCCATGTAAGTAACAATCTATTATATTAAAGTTTTAAAGAAATATTTAAAAACTATTAATTAAAAGTTAAATTAAGTTATAATTGCAGTACAGAGCAATCATAAAATATCTTCAAGGGGAGATTTTTAATACATCTCCATTACACTCATCATTTCTAAGTAAATATCTAATTATTTAGATTTCTGTTGTTGATTCAGATGTTACGTCTTATTGTTAGTTAAAATTTGCCTAACTTATAATGATGAGAGAGCTTTCAAAATGAGTGGTGATAGATTGGAAAAATAATTATGACTAATAAGAAGTGATTCATTATATTTTTTACAAATAAATAATTTTCTATTCTATTCTATAAATTTTCAATAATTCTGGAAAACATTATTAAGAATAATTTTAAAACTTAATAATATAAAAATAATTATGTTAATAACTACAAATATTTAAAATTTTATTTATTTACAGATATCAATGCCAAGCATCGAAGTAAGTAAAACTATTTGTGAGAAATGTATACAGAAAATACGAGATGCATTTTACTTCAAGAAGCAAGTAATAACTTGTGAACAAAAGTTTGAGGAGTACTGGAAAAGTTAGTGCTCTGTTTGTATACCTTCTTGTTTTTGATGGTCATTTGTTTTTAATAAAGATAATAATAATAAAACTTTTGGTTTTTAGTAAATAGCTAAAACAGTTTCCATTTATAAACTCATTCCACAAAATTTATTACCAAATCAATGTTAATGTCAATATTAAAATGCAACTGTATCTGTGCTTGTTATTCTTTCAGTCCTAAACTGCTAAATTGATTATGGTGAATTTTGTTATAGTAATAGATTGGACCATGGAGACTTTTAGGCTATGTTTTGTTAGTATAATAAAATATGATGAAAGGGATAATACTTTTTATGGTGAAATAATTATTCTGATGTTCTCAGGTTCAAAACCTCACATGGTACAAACATTTGTATTCATTAGTAAGATTGTTCCAATTGGTCTGGGTCTTATTTAGTATGTATTTACAAAAAAATGTATTTATGTCTTTATGTCAGTTATTTAGTATCCATAAAGCAACCTCTGCTTAGCTTGGGACTAGAAGGCACTGAGTGAATTGTCTGGAGATATTATTATTATTATGAAAATATCATCAATGAACAAGAATGATTTAATTATTTGAAATCAAATTTAAATAAGTTATGATTATATCCATTATTTTATCATAGCTATTGGCCAATTCATAAAAAATATGAAAATAAATGTAAACTGAAAAATAAATATAGCTTATTATTGTTGCAGATGAACAGGCCTTGGACCAAAATATGGAAAATGTTAAAATTGAATGGGAGGCAGCGGAATGTGGTAATGCAATATGATACATTACACATTAGACATAAATACAGAAGCATTGAGAATTGAAAGGACAATAGCTAATTGCCTTTCCTTAGCTTTAATCATATATGGATTAGATTCATATAAATCTGTTAGATATAATCATCCTTTGTTGTCTACAGTATTATATGTTTCAAGCTTTATGCATAAAAAAATTAGAAAGTATTTTGAAAGTCAATGTCAAAGGAGTTTAGTACCCATTACTAACAGTCCTTCCCTCTTCATACTTTTAGAGACCATGCATCCCAACGAATGATGATTGATCAGTATGTAGTATGAAATTAATTTTATTGTTTACAGTTAATTATGATACTGGCCAAGAATCCTCACATGAGCACCAGGAGGATAATTTATATAGTGAGTATTCATACAGTGACAATATTTTATTTTTATTATTTTCATTATAACAATTGTTTCCCATCTCTATTTTGAAATTTCTCTAATATTATTAATTATCCAGAAATATTAAGCAGTTATAATTAAATAAAACTACGACCAAAAAACATAAATAACACTGTTCAAATGCATGAACAAATAATCTTTTTACTTTTTCACTTACATGCATAATTCTACAATATTGTCAAAAATTGTGTAACTATTATGTTTCATATATTATTTTCTCAGAAATGGAGATAGGAATAGATGACATAAAACGCGTAGGTAAGATTTATTTACTCAATTGCTGGATCGCATGTAATCGCGTTTTTATATAATACATTCATTTTCAAAACACATCACCTGTAGTGATGGGTTAAACTTAACATATGGGACCCCTGCATGGTACACGCTGTGATACCCGGCACTTTAGCGATGTTCGTAGACTTGTAGAGCTTTTGAATGTACACGAATACGCTTTGCTTGAACACATAGAGCAAAGGTTCGCTTTTACATAACCGTCTATTAAGTGAATGGCGTTGGCGATGACATACTAATCCATAGTCTGTATTTCGTTAAGAGAAAATGAGTGCCGTAAATTGCACCTATGGGAAACAGGCGGGTTGTTGTTTGAATGATAATAATATTTAACATTTGCTAATTTCTTATTTGAGCGTTGAATGATATCGTATTTATTTTTCAGAAAAAAAATTACCTAATTATTTAATAAAAGATGAAACTGTGTCTGAACGCTCACAGAAGGAGACCGCCAGGAAAAATAATACCAAAGGCAAGTAATAGGAGTTACTTAAATGTACCGCTATATATATACATAATTGTATACATATCTATACATATATCGCGGTACATTTAATCTACTATCCTTGTACCTTTATTACTTCTACCTTTTACAGCAGACCGCGAGCGTGCTACACTTTTTACATTTAGTTGTGTAGTGTTTAGGGTTGAACACAAGTTGTAACAAGTGGTTAGTGTTGAAGTCTGACTCTTCATTTCGACCATTTTAAGAATATGACAATAAAAGAAATACCAACCGTAACACACAATTGTATGGTATCGTCCTGGAAGTAAATCTTAACATGTTTCAATCAGTAGTTGTCAATTGTCGGCATAATGAGGAACGCAACATTTAACATTTCGCTAGATATTCTAAAGCAACTTCTTTTCTGTTCCCTGTAATATTAATCTTCCGTTGTCATTGCAGGGGACTAAGATGTCATGACTCTTATTCTGTAATTTTACTGCCTAATCACACTTGACAATCGAAATACCTCGTACAAAGTTGTTTGATGGTTGAAATAGGTGAGGCTAGATACTCGCGGTTACGAATGTTGGTATGTGTACAATCTACCTCTCATGGTCATATGAACTTAGCATAAAGGCAATATTTTGTTTCAGGTAGAAAAGCAAACAAATCGATGAAATTTCCGATACTCAAGAAGAAAGGAGGCGCTCGGATAGCGGACACAAATGGTGAACCATGTACCCATTTGTGTCCGCTCTGCCCGGCTACATATCACACCGCACTTGCTCTTAAGGCACACATGAAGGAAATGAAACATAATTTGATTTATAAATGCGAGGTGATTCACTTTGTCCTTTATTTCCATCTCATTATGACTACGCTCAATTAGTCTAGAAGTCATAAATATATTTTATCAAATTTTTTTCAGCAATGCAAACAAAGGTTTACTACTAATTTTCAACTCGACAGGCACATGTTTTCAATTCACGGTGATATCAGTCCGTTCAAATGCAAGTACTGTCCGAAAATGTTCTGTTTAGAGACCTCGCTGTTAGAACATGAGAACCTTCACAATGAACAGAATCTCTACCAATGCGATGTTTGCAACACGATGTTAATGAGCAAAGGAACTCTGACGAGACATATGTTGCGGCATTTAGGACGTCAGAGGAAGTATGTGTGCGAATTGTGCGGGGGGACGTTCAATGATCAATGCAACTTGCGGAACCACGTACAAACCGTCCATGAGAAGCTGAAACTTTATAAATGCCAGGTTTGTTCCAAGGCGTATGCTGCGAACAAGACCTTGAAAATCCATATGCGCCTCCACACCGGGGAAAGACCATATTCGTGTCATATTTGCTCCAAGGCATTCACATCATTCTCTTCCTGCAAGTCCCATATGTTCTCGCATGATTCTAACCACAAATACAAATGCAAAGTCTGCTCAGATACGTTTAAAACTCGGGGCGGTTTTGCCAAACATACTAGAACGCACGTTGGCATGAAACCATTGATCTGTGATCTATGCGGTCGAGACTTTACATGCAAATATTCATTGAAGAGACATATTTTCAAGCACACCGGGTTGAAGCCATTCGCTTGCGACAAGTGCGATGGTAGGTTTGTCCAGAAATCTGCACTGCATAGGCATAATAAGAGGCGACATAGCGACACGGTCCGCCTCGCGACCGATAAGAAACAATGTAGTTTATGTAAACGACTAGTTTACGATTTGGAGAAACATTTAGAAATGCATAACAATAGGCCCTACATATGTGAATACTGCAATAAGACGTTTCCTGCCAGAAATGTACTAAATCGCCATATTTCGAGCATACATTTAAATGTAAAGTCGTTCGATTGCCAATTTTGTGATAGAAAATATAAACGGATAAGTGCATTGAGGTGTCATAATTTAAAAGCCCATAAGATGCCATTAAAAACAGAATTAGAACAGAATATGGACAGCGTGGTCACAAAATATACGATTACTAATAAATATAGAAAAAAGAAAATTTGTCCAAATAATTTAACAGTGGAATCATCGTTGATTGAACAGCTTGATAAAAGTTAAATACCTTTATTTGCCATAAAATTATTCGTGTTAAGACCCGGTTAATAATTTAAATAAAAGTTAAATGGTTTTGATAATGTTATAATAAAGTGAAAATTTTGAATTTCTCTTCACTGTTGTACAATCTCACATATTCTTTCGGTTGTAATTGTACACTTTCAAAGGGTCCCGATCTAGTTCAAAGCCAAGTCTTCCAAGCCTCTTTATCACTGTTTTTGGTGGTAGATATGTGCTTGGCAAGATCCCGGCAAAAATAAACATAGTTTATTTACAGGGGGCCAAAGTTTATAGTCTGCTCAGACAAACATTTTTGTAACGTAATACTTATTACATGAATCATTATTATTTATGTAAAGAGCAAAAAATATTTTTACCAATCTGACAATGTCTGCACTAATATTAAACATCCAAACTAATATTTAAAATGATTAATGGAATTATTCATTAAAATTGTCGAATGCTATATACAGGTTTATTTTTAATCATAATAGAATAAGTACCTAATATTAATATATTATATATAGATAATCAATTAATATCTGACATTGTACACATATTATTTTATAAGTACAGATATTATTTTCATATTTTTGTTTATTTTTATTTCTTCAGATATCTATTCTTTGTAAGTAAATAATTATTAAATATTTAAGAATAAATCCACTGTCGTATACATTTTTAACTATTAACACGGTATAATGTTCTATTTACTAACTGACCGGGCAAACGCTGTTGTGCCATATAAATTAAAATCGCCATTAAAAAATAGGGGTTGCTGGCGGGTTAAAATTTAGGGTAGTATGTATTTTTATTACAATTTTATAAAAAATGTGTTTGTCTACAAAATACAAAAATTGTTACTGGGTTGACAACCCTTATCATTTAGGGGTAAATACTACACTGAATATGCATATAAAATTTCATAATAATGGGTCAAGCCGTTTCGAAGAAGTATGGTAACCAACATTGTGACACGAGTATTTTATATATCAGAAGAAATCCGAAGTCTCATGTTATATTCAGCGTGTCTATTTTCCATTTTTACGTATATCATTACGTACTATCTATATATTGATACTACTAACTATTGATTAACCAATTTCAATTCACTTAGAAAAAATCTCTTAGAGACAACCCAACTTGGAGATAGGTAGATTAAATGACAAAGGACCCATCTCGTCGATAAATATCATTTTAATCAGCCATATCGATATAAGACGTAGGACTGTATTATAAGGGTTGTGTTACAGGTAAAAAATATTTCTCATTCACTATTTTACTCAATTCATTACTGGTTTAACTTGCAGTGCGTTTATTAGTTGTTACGTATGCACGCATACATTATTTCAACAAATCCTACCTACATACAGAATCTAACGAATATAATCTTTAATACGCATTGATAAGTTTGATTTTAAGGGTACCTATGCGTAATGTGTACATACAAATTTACCCTTTATTTGCTGTTAGTGCATTTATTATTTCTTGAAATATGGTCTTAGTGCTTATAGTATTAAGGTTTCCGGTTTTATTTGTAATTGAGAATTTGTAATAAGACGTGGATGCGGCGCAAGATTGGAAAGTGGTCAAAGCAGTCTCGTAAGCGGTGTAGACCGCAACGCCCGTGTCGATAAAGGAGACCTCAGAAAGTTACTGCAGGTCGAAAATATAAATACGAAAAAGTTTCACGAGGTGTGACATAAATGTCTACAAACTGTCAAAATCTCGTAAATAAATAGTCACCTGTGTCGGTTGCAAATTGTGCAGTGTTTGTGTTTTGTCATAAAATTACTATACAAGTATACAAAATAAAACTGCAACCGTGTTGAGGTACTACTGCAAGGTGAGTGACATGTTTTAAAAGTAGGTAGTCCTAGATATATATTTTTTATTCCACTACCACGACGCAAGAATACTAGCACATACGAGTACGAGACGGCCAAGATTGCGTTGTTTTTATGATCTCGATAGAACAGTAGCGGTGTAATTTATACGCAAACGGCAAACGGGTTTGAATTTATTTTGCTTATTAATTATTGCTAATAGGAATCTTTTCATTAGACGGTTATTGGAGTATGGAATATTTACAGTGAGATTGTTATCAATATACATACTAATTTCTGCAGAAATATTAATAAATATTCTCACTAATTAATTACCTATACCTTAATAGAATATTAAAATAATATTTACTTTTTTTAACGGTGTTCCCAACGGAGAGTCACAAAGATAAACTTATGATTAATTTTAGTTGTTGCCCAAAAAAAAACTACCCAATCGTAGTTATGTCAATCGCTAGGACACTGTTACATAGTCATGTGAGCCCATGTGTGGTATCGGTACTTTCTAAAAGAAGAATGACTAATATGATATTCGATATTATGTAATATAAAACAGTTACTTTTTTATCAGGTCTGAAACAAATTAAGCAAATGTGGTTAATAATATTATTATCTCAGAACAATACACAGCGCCATCTAGTTTCAAGCTAAGCAGATACAAATACATAGATATATTATTTGTAAATACATACATAATATACATAAAAAACACCCAGAATAATATAAACAATAATACTCATGAATACAATTTTTTTTATCGTGCGAGGAATCGAACCCGCGAACGAAAATAAGGCGGTGTGTTAAACCGCGGCCTTCAATTATACCTGTCGATAATGTATGTAATAACTAAACATTAAATAATAGTTACGTAAACAATAGGTATACTTACAACTTAAATAACCGTAAAGATTTCACTGCCTCAGTGATCGTGGGTTTGATTCTGCGTGCCTACTTTAAAACAATTAAATTGTATTCAAATCATAATCACAAATAATACATATCTCATTTCTTAATATCTTAATAATATTATAAACGTGATAGTTTGTAAGTATGGATGTTTGATACTCCCTCACGCAAAAACTACTGAATGGATTTTGATGAAACTTTATAGTAATATAATTTATGCATCAGAATAACGCATAGGCTATATTTTCTATTGTAATTTAACCCAGGTTAAACCGCGGGCACAGCTAGTATAATAATATACCTTCACGACTATTATCGCAGATAGAGTAGTTTGAATATATTGTCAACTTTTAACGTCATTCATAATGAACGCAACACTTAATCCTATCTCCGATTTATTTGGTTTGTAATAGGTGTTTCCATCTTCAGAAATATGAATTCACAAACCAAGATGTAAAGTTTCAGCCAAATTCACTGTTACGACATTTGGGATCAATTTTAATGACTAGGCGACAAGGCTCTGTGCCAAATGTCAAATGTAAATGTTCAATTCAAACTCATATCTTTGTAAATTAATACAAAAGCTTTAAATAAACCTTCAACGATGTCTGTAATTTCAAATCTGTTGCATCAAAAGTCACCTTGTCTTGGTCTGTGTCCAAATTGTGTATCAATTTAAATTTCTAATTATCTGATGAAGGTAATCATCATTGTTCCAAACACTAATACGGTATTTTTCCCTAATAAAATATGTAAGTTATGAAAATACAGATAGAGATGTTTTTAACAACAGCAACAATTTACGCGAGTCGACAAATCCAATCAAACAGGCACGAGTGCACACTTGTCCTATTTTTTATCTGCGGTATGGATGACATACACATTTTAGTAATATTATACAATTGTACTTATATCGGAACAGAAAAGTAAGTTACTTATTTCTGGTATTTATAGATGTTGAATGAAAATAAATTTCCTTGCAAAATATTCTTATGGATAATAATGGAATGGTGCACCCGTCTGCGCTGACAGTTTACGCTGGTGTCCCACCAGTGGAGGATGATAAGATGAGCATGGGGTCAGGTTAGTTAGCCCATTGAAGTAAATTCACCATAAATTTATCATGATCGTTTCCAGGGGAACTACGTGGAGGTCTACCTGTTATGGTACATTGCTAGCTATGGGGTTATTAGTCCACATTACTAACAATCCCCTTCCACCCTCTGTATCATAAATACTACAGATATTCATCCGATTTGTGTAGTGAACACTACTCATACTTAAGGCACCGTTTTGGGTTCGAATCTCGGCTCAAGCTTTAGTACTTTCAATCCCTGCTGGAGTGATACAGGCTATCGATCAGAAGGGTTTTTTTTTATAAATGATAATGGAGTAGTGCACCCGCCTGCGCTAACAGTTTACAATGGCGGGGCACCAGTGGAGGATGATAAAATGAGCATGAGGTCGGGCCAGTTGGCCCATCGTCGCAAATTCACCAAGAATTTATCAATATGGTTTCCAGGGGGAACCGCGTGGAGATCAACCTGACATGGTACATTGCTAGCAATAAGATAATCAATCCACATTACTAACAATTCCCTTTCCCCCCAAAAGGGATTATTATAAGTTTTACGTCCACGGTTCTGATTTGACTTCATCATTCATCCTATATTCCACTGGTGTCCCGCCAGCGTATACCCATAGCGCAGGCGGACACCATTCGAAACTTTTAATTTTGTACCAAAAATACATCATTGCAAGAGGTTATGTGTGATACTACGGAGTGCCTATGTAGTAATCTGTCGCTCGATTACCAATGAATTAACGTCATAAGTTACATTCCTCACAAATCTTTCGCTTTCGCTTCAGACACGTACGCCACACTAACAAAGCGTTTGGAGAGTACAGCTTTTTATACTATTACATATTATTATGGTAAGCAGACACAGCCCAATGAAAGTGGTCACCGTCGCCTATAAACGGCAACATTTAAATAGTGCCTTATATGAAAGGTGACAAATATGGCACTCTCAAGTAGTTAGGGTCCTAATAACAGTCTATATAAGATTCGTAAATGGGATTAAAACGGGAATTAAGAATAAAAACATGGCGGTCGTCTGGCCTGAAAATATAATCTTTGAATTACTATAAAGTTTAAATCATACAAATACCTATACGTCTACCTCCAATACAAATATCTACTAATGTTATGCCAGACTTTGGTGACAAACCTAAAGTAAATATTTTTTCCAAAACGGCCTAGCCATTTAGGAGTTAAGTGACATGATTTATTGTTAATTCATTGATTGTGAGTTCAAACCTCACACGATACAAATATTTGTCTTCATGAGTGTATATCATATGGCCTGAACTTTCTTTCTTGTGATTTTTTTATATACTTACTACGATGGTGGCAATCAAGCATATGTCGATATGTGTAAATATATTTCTTTATTATGTTGGAAACCAACACATGTGTTTTGGCAGCACTGACGTTTTTACTCTATTCCATTTTGCCGCTAATAGGTCTTAAGAAATTGTACCTTTACTTTCTTTTCACTTTAAAATATGTATGGTTTTCTGAGTGCACTTACTGGTGGTAGAATGATGTAAGTGTACATCCTTCTACCACCAGTAAGTACACTCCCAAGTAAGGACATTTAAAAAATAACATTGTCTTTATGATTGGGTTCTCGTCAATGCCTAAAAAATAAAAAAAACGTTGATGTGGTTCCAATGCATAAAATACTGATATACAATTCATTTTATTATATACTTTTCCACTTTGCTGTAAAGAAAACAGAAGTCAAATTATGCTTACTTTAAGATCAGATGTATACCTATAAGTAAGTATGGTTGATATATATACCTTGTACATATATCAACCATATATATACCTCATATTCCTTAAAATTCCATGTGTTTGTGACCTTTGTAACTCGATAAGTACCTAGTGCATGGATTGACATGACATTTTTACGCAACACTGCATTGCTATCGAAGATTATTACTAATCTAAGATTACTTTTATACACTTTTAATCCCGGAATTGCAACGTGAACAGGAAATTCATAGCGTATCGTGGTATTTACATTCTACATAATAGTGAAGTGGGGTATGGATTAGCTAGCTTTATTTAAAGAGATTTATGGAGCATTTTATTATAGGAGACGTACTTTAAACCGTGACACAATTTGTTTTTTTTTGAGATAAGATATAGCCTGTGACCGTCCTCATGATAGAATCTATCTCTATGTCAAATGTCATTAAGGTCCATTCAAATGACTAGACGTGAAAATTAATAAACAGCTTCTTCCAACTAGTGATAAACAGACACAAAAATCATTGTCACATCCAGAGTCTTGTACGGAGATACAATGGAACTTGCGTACGTTCAATTGATTAGCCTTTTTCATCTTTTTCGTACCGAACTAATAAATATACACTAGCTATGACGCAAACTCGAATTAAATCCAGTTTATATTACGACACTGCCGCGCCGCACCGGTGCGATGTAACGCGACGTAATCGTCACGTAATGATACATATTATTATCGTATTTTTTACAGACTTTGCCCCAATTAGATGTAATGACATTTTAAAAGATGTATTTAGTATTCCTAAGGGGACAACCATTAACTGCGTGAGGCGCTTAGGAGGGGGAGGAGGTTAAACCGAATCTTCTATTTCACGTTCTCGAATCTCGACAAATACGAGTATTAAGTAATTCTTTTTCCGCAATTTATATTATAAAACGTGAGTTGTAAGGGAGGATGGAGAGGGACGATCCAAATCTCACGACATCTCCCAAGTGGATAGGTTTACGTAATTAATGGACGTTTCCTAATATTAAATACTACGTAGCTGTGCCCGCGGTTTCACCTGCGTGAAATTTATATCTTATGTGTTATCGTAAAGTTTCATCAAAATCCGTGAAAGAGTAACAAACATCCATCCATACTCACAAACTTTCGCGTTTCTATATTAATAAGACTAAATACATCTCGCGGCGCTGCTTAAGTTGATTATAACGTGTGTGAAATGTTATAATGTGTGTGAAAGAATTAAAATGAATCAGTCCCTTGTTGTTCTTAAC